CATTTATATAGTGCTCTGTGAACACAAATTAGTTAGCATAAATCAGTTAAATGACTAAAAATTAGGTATCTATTTACTTGTGACCACTCAGTGTATATATGTAAGAATGCACAAAAATACCTTATTACCGTTTTTCTACTTATTGAACTATACAAAATAAAAGTTCGTTATAACTGAAATTGTACATTTTCTTTTTTTTAAGTTAACAATTTTGATCTTATAGCCCAGCTTAAACAGTTAACTATTAATATTTTCTAATAACTGCAAGTGGATACAGGTTAACATGCTATGCATAAAAAACAAAACAAGAGTTTTTTAAGAATAGTAATGTTAGTTATGGTTTTCAATAGCTTGGGTTACATTACTAAAACAGTAAAAGTTACCATGATTTTAATTTCGAAGCTCTTCAGGAAATACTCGGGATACATGGCCCAGTATTGAATATGGTTAGGTGTCACATATCCAGTGTATCTGTTTGAATTTTCTTGACGACTTGTAACCTGCCAACATTTGTCGTACTGGAAAGTTGCCGGAGCTAATAAAATATACAGACCTTTTGTTTAATTTAGGCCTCATATTAGATAATAGCTTACAGTAATTACAAATATTCTTTTAAATAGTGTGAAAGCCTGGGAAACGCCGGATTCTGCAATGGTTTACACTAATGTGTTTTAGGCCCTTCTAATAAACAATCAAATAGAAACATACCAGATTAAGCAAAAGCTATTGTATGGACTTTGTGGGGTTTCTAACTCACGTGGTGTTTTGTTTTGGATGCTCAGTAACTAAATAATCAAGTTTTAGTAATTAAGTGGAAGGCATGTCCATAAAACTTTACAATATGTACAAAATCAACTAACTGTAAAGGCGTTTTCAAAGCTGCAATAAAAGCGATAATGGTTATGTAAATATGAGTTTTCTTCATAAATATTTACTTTTTATTTATTTGAAAAAAAACATTTTTTCACTTGTGTTAGAACCTGTGAAATATACACTAAGTTTTAAAAATTAAATGCATTGAGATCGAAGGAACGTCATTCTTCGTGATGATAAAGTAAGCAGTATAGTATTAGCAGTAAACCTTTTTCCATTACCTGAACACAGTCTCTGCCATAGCTTCTCAAGATTATCTTCTCTCGACGACATTTCGAAAATGTCATTTGCTGGGTCCCAGACAATAGATTTCAGCTGCTCTTTGTCACCAAAACCGATGATTGGAACATCTTAAAAATTAATAGAATTATATTCGTACTAAATAAAACATGATGGTCCACTGCTTTGAATCTTTAGAGGAAAATGAATTGATATTTGGGATATCTACTCTTAACAATGGTCTAAATTTCATTAACATGTAGATTTCGTTTCATATTAGTTTGGAAGGAGGACTCATCTTTGGCGTAAAGCTAATACAAATCCCCAAAGAAGGAAAATAGAAGAACTGTCAACATGAGACATAAATGACAATTGCCTCTACAAATGTCTAACACAACATGCAACCTATTGCAATTGTAATAGCTTAAATGCTATACCAAATGCAAATAAAGTGAGAAGTTTGATAGATATATGCATTAATCTAAGAATTTAAAAAAATTGGTTGTTGTTGGCTAAAGACCAATTTTAATGTTGCGAAAGCGGTACCTACTGAAATAAATAGCTGAGCTCGTGAATCTTTATTTAATTATAGTCCTCTGGTGGGACAGCAACAAGTCTACAGACTTAGAACGCTAAATTCTGGGATTCGATTTCCCCGTCGTAGACAGTAGATAACCCAATGTGACTTTGCTCTAAAACAACCAAACAAATGTTAATTATGCTGTTACATGAATTTTAAAGTATATTTTTAAAATTTAACTATCTGTTATTATTACATGTAAAAAATGCAAAATGAGGAGAAAACCTCCGTCAAGAATGATATTTTGAATGAAAGACAGTTTCAAATACCGGAGCTTGTAATCATGCATTAACAGGTTTTTAGATGATTTACTAAAGATGTATACTAATAACATATATACTTTGAATGATAGTTTTGAATTTTCTAACGAAATTAAAAAGCAGTGGCGCCATTTAAGTGTACAGGCCCTAACTGCCCTTGAACTCCAGTAAAAGTTGTTCCCCTATTGAAATCTGAAATGGCGCTCTTGTTCACAATTCAAAGTTTGATAGTAAGCTTTATTGTTCTAGCTTTGACAATGAGTCCTTGTGTACTAATATCTGTTCGAGTCTTGTAAATATAATAGTTTGTGTTTTGTCAACCGTTTTCATATTAATTATTAAATTTCTTAGAGTATCTAAAGAGTAAATATAAGAATATGCTTGATGATCATTACAAAAATCCCAAACTTACCTTTTTAAACATATTATTTTATAATCGCGATGGTAACTTTGAATATGAAGCTTACCATAAAAAAGATGTTCACTGGCTTGTATTTCAACTTTGCAAACTATGTACCAATTTTGTTTAAGAAAAACCTAGCTAAGATATTTAGTCTTCTTCCTTATAAGTTATAATTATAAAATCTTAAACGCCTCTGAAATTCTGCATAGAGTTTGGTAACATTAAACAGTTTTATGCAAGAATGGTTATCCTATCTAGTTAACAGATAAAATAATTTGTGACTATTAAAACGCTGACCCATCGCAGAACTTATTTTTAGTAAGACTTAATTATTTATTATGAACTACAAAATATCAATACAAAATGACAGAAGGCGTGTCATACACATGCTGTTAGGCCTAAAGAATATCCATCTTAGCTGCGTCCATAGAGAGCTACAATATTGTATGGTTCTTCAAACCAGTCTGTTCCAGGTGTATAATTACTTAAGCATTGTACAGAACAACAATCTTCAAAGTTTAAATTTTTTCATAACGTTTGGTTAAACCATATCCAAAGAAGCATAAAGTTGAAATATATGACTTACCTCTATGGTTTCTTCTCAAAAACACAAGTTCTTTGTTTTGTTTCATTAGCTCATTGTTTAGCTGCTGGTTGTTGAAATAAATGACAATCTGTAGAATAAAATTAATCATTGACTTATTCAGCTGGTTTTCGTGATGATTCCCAAATTAAACCATGAAAATGTTCCACCAGGTGTTATATATCTGTGGTGCTTTAATATTAATGATTTTGTACACATTTTTATCAGACATAGAAATATAATGTTCACTTTAAGTTTTGGATTATTTAGAAATAAAAAACACATGAATGACTACTAGAACTCAAAATTCGTATATTTTATTACATCTCTTCATTCGTAAATATAGGATATTCTAATATCTGATAATTGTCCTAATTTTTAATTTCAGTTACCTACATATTTTGTAGCCATTAATATTATAATTAGTTATCTGTTAAATTATCAAGGTGTTACCAAAACATAGAATGAGACAGCGAAATATTTGTTTAAAAGGAAATAGTATAAGTTATTGTGGGAAGTAGCACAGTAGGATAAAATGAAAAGACTGGACTCCAGGTTTGGTATTTCTTAACAAAACATAAATTTATCCACAAGTTACATCGTACACATAGACAAACAACATCTATATATTATATTCTTATATATCCATTCCATAGAAACATTTAATCGTGAGTCTGTCTGAACTCTAGTGTTAAAACACTTTATCCGGAAATCGATAACCTTAATAAACGGACTGTCTGTGCCATGCTTACATTATTCTCATACTTAATCATTTTTTCAGCTCGCGATTCATGTTCTACTTCAAGATTACCAGATTCATAACAAATGTATAATAGCTCATTTACACTTTTACCCGGAACAACATAGGTTAGAAGTGATTTTTTTTAAAGAAACACACAAAGACACAAAGAGATGCAAAATAGAAAATTTCTGTTCTTTGAACACCCGTATATTCTCCTGATTGTATTCAAACTTGGGGGGAAAACTGAAGTAAAGACTATCCAGTTATATCGTGAACAGTTACGAGCAACCCGAGAACCACTTCATGGAAACTAGCAGAAAATGTAAAGATTCTAGAGGATCTCTTAAAAACTCTTGTCTGCTTTGTCCACTGCAGAGAATCGTACCCCTGATTTTAGTCTGTAAGTCCGTAGCCTTACCACTGACCCACCGGGAGACGAGTTAGTTGGAACGCAAACTAATATTATTAATATTTTCTTCATATATGTATGTATTAATGGCTTTTTTTGTTGTTGTTGTTCTTTTTAATTTAGAACAATTTGTCGGTCATTGTTGGAATTACGACTTTGGTGATGTGATGAGCAACCAGTGAGGGAACTTGGTACCTATATACAACGATCAAGACCTTCCTTTTTCTGGTCGATTGCTAAATGTCAAAACAATTTTGACTTTGAGCTATATTAAAAAGAGAGTTTTCCAAGAATATGTATATACTTTATCTCTTTTTCTTGATATATTGATTATGTTCATAAACTTGACTGAAAAATTATTATTTCTGAAAATCCCAAGGTTATATCCGTAGCGTTAACGACATGGAGTTACTTAAAGGACTAAACAAGACCCTTGGAAAGTTTGAATTTGAGAAAAAACTAGCTCCAGGTGCACCAGGAAAGGTATTTATAAACGTGTAAATATGGATATTTCTTACCGCATCTAAACTATACCTAATCATATTTCTTGGTGACTTAATATTGGGTTAATTATTTTTTGAATTTTCAAATGTTTTAATGAGAGATACAAGAAAACGTTTCTTCAATCGCAACAACCACAATATAACAACTTGCTGAAATTCTACTTCCTCCTGCATTACACTGAAATAACGATCTTGTAGTGTAAAAAAAAACAACTAATTTACACAGTGGTAATAACTGAATATTGATAATAATTCACTAACTGCACAAAGTCTCAAACATTCTCGTGGTTTAAGCAATAATTTATCAGTCTATCACTAAATACGCTGACTGATCACTTTATTCAGACCTCTATTCACTACATTAACCCATCAAATAATGGTTTAAACCATCGTTTGCCGACAAAACAGCCTGATTTCGATGTGACATCACCTCCGCAAGATGTCAAAATGTTTCTTGACCGTTTGTAGTCCAGTCACCGAGTAGTGTGACAAACAATAGGTTATAGATATCGACAAACAAAGTGAAACATCAATCCTGATCACTGTTGTAGAAATCGGTTAGCTAGCTTGTTTGTTTACTTTAGAGCAAAGCCACATTGGGTAGGATAACTTTGTTGCTCAATAAAGTTAATTGAGTCGGTATTCAAATATTTATATAACATCTTGCATAAGTGCCAATCTTCTTTAATTTGAAAATAAATTATTTTTTTTAATAATCAAAACAGTTGACTAACGTTTTATTCAGAATTAAAACTGTTAACAGCTGCACCTGTTATAAAGTAACTTAGTTACGAAAAGGTAATATTGGATACATCGTCAAGTGTATAATGGTGTATAGTGTGGCTTAAATATGGTATGAAAATCTTAGTATTTCAAAAGTTATTTCTCTTAGTGTATATGCATAAATTATGTAATGTGCCAAATTCATAAGTGACATTTTGGTACATTTGGTTAGAGGCTGCAGCACAGTACAATAATAACATTTTATATTGAACCTCTAGCGACAGTTACTTAAATGTATGTTGCACATATTGATTGAAGTTGATTAGTTAAGAAAGCATGAAACACGCCGATTGTATATATTCTTTGTTTAGGTTTGGCCAATTTATCATTAATTTAGAAATTACGACTATGATTATCAAGGTGCGCGAATGAAAACTATGCCACGCAGATGTTGGAATTAACGAACAAGAATTTATATGTCAATAGAATAAAAAGGTAAGCATGAATAACGGCGACTAAAAAGGAATATAATTAATTAAACGAATCATAATATCCTACATTTATTCGTTAAAGTAGTGAAAAAATGTAAGGTTATTTTATGATTAATGAATAGGCTTTGTTTTACGATTGTTTGATTAAGTTTCTGAGTATCTTTGAGTTCACATACCCATATACACTAAACCGATGTACTTTAAAGGCATGGTTAAAGTGCCAATCAATCAATATCTATGAACCATCTGATATTACATATTCACTGCTATTATCAGATATCAACGACTAATGTTGGACAGATACACTATAGATAATCTACATATGAATGTTACGAAGATGTCGGGGCTGGTTTGGGAAAATCCCGGATGTCGTGACGCCATTTAAAAGTTGACTAAGGATTTTTTTTTTCTTTTCTCCCATTGAACTCGTGAGAAAAAGGGAAGAAAAGCCTTTAACGTCAGATATAGTGTTCACTAATAGTGTCGCTTTTTATTAATATTTATTTCGAAACACTAATAAACCCAAAATTATTTCAAAATTTCTGAAGGCTTACGGAAGACATGATTTTCGTTTTTATCGAAAACACATAGGCATTTTATCTGCCTCCAGACGAGGCTGAGAACCTGAGTAGTCCTCAAATCATTTGCCCAATTAGTAATCTCGTAAAATTTTCTTAAGTTATTCTCTGGAAGTACTTCAGATTAGAGTAAAATTATTATTGTCCAACATTAAACTTTAAATTGATTTAAAAGCTTTCGAGTTTTAACGGAAGAGTTTTTCTTATAAATGAATAAATACTTGTATCGATCCACGCTGGAAAACACGTGGCACATCCTTGTGACGTGGTGTTAAAGACAATGGGATACAGTTCTTCATTTTGAGTTCCGTATGCAAAAATACTCATACTGTCGCCGTAAGCTCTCATGTCCATTCTATTGGCCAAGTAGCTGAAAGAAAAGAAGAAAAATTGACATATTTTACAAAAAGGAATGCTTAACGCTAATATTATATAAACTACTTTATAATTTGTGCAGCAAATATTGATTTTGACTTGTAGTTAAATAGGGTTTATATGTTTTTCTCGTTAATAACAAAGCCACACAACAAATAATTTGTGCTGTGTCCACCACAGGATCGAACCCCAAATTTTAGTATTGGATGCCCTGCAAACATACTGCTGAGCCACCGAAGGGCAAATCCTTTATATTATTTGTAAAATATTTATTGTGCAAAGTCAGACAGATTCGCCAACAGTTAATGGTGTTATGCTTACATGATTTGTCCTTTTGAGAAACCTAACTAGAGTTATATCAACTATATTTATACACCTAAAACCTAAGTGACTTGTACCAAACATTAGACTTTGTGCTTACAGGTTAGTTCAGTGCATCTAGCGAAAAAAACAACAACAACAAAACAAATAACAACAATTACATATGTGCAAGTCAAACACATAGGTAATTTTTCAACAGTGTTTTTAGCGTTGTTCTTCTAATGAACTATCCCTTCGATGTTGTATTTTCCTAGATATCCAATAACGAACATTACACTACGGTATTTTCAATTGTATTTTTTTTTAATTTAGCGCAAAGCTATTTGAGGGCTATCTGCTATAGCCGTCCATAATTTAGAAGTGATAGACGAAAGAGAAGGTAGCTCGTCAATACCACCCATAGCTAACTCATAAACTACCCTTTACCGACGAAAAATGGGATTGAACATTACGTTATAGCAGGCCCATGGCTGAAAGGGCGAGTATGTTCGGTTAAGGTATTCGAATCTGCGACCAACAAGTTCGAGTCGAGTGCTCTAACCACCAGGCCCTACAGTTGTAAGTTAAATTTGAACTTTTAAGTACTAGTAATCCAAAATCTTACTTTTAGCTAATGCTGGTTTACCTACTTTTTGCCCCCCAGTGGCACAGCGGTATGTCTGCGGACTTACGACACTAGAATCCGGTTTTCGATATCCTTGGTGGGCAGAGCACAAATAACCCATTGTGTAGCTTTGTGCTTAATTACAAACAAACAAACAAACAAAACCTACTTTTTATTGAGTTATTGTTTGAAAAAGTTAAACAGTAATTTAAGCGAGTAACTTGAATATCTTTTTTTTTCCACATTAACAAAGTTCTGAAATTTTGCTGTAAACAGATAAATAAAGAATTAACAAGTACAGTATTACAGATGTGCTTGTTATTATCATAATAAAGATGCTATGAAACTGCAGTTGAAATTGATAGCGCTACAATAAGTTAAGGACAGCAACTTAGCCAACGCTGAAGACAGCCCTAGTGAGAATTTAAGACAACTGAATATATTGAATTCATTATTAAACCTCAGAAGCGAATGTATGCATTGAATGCTAAAACTTTTTTTTTTTTTTAATTACAGTAGTTCGTTGACTTCGTGCACGTAAAGTAAAGCTGGAGAGTTTTCTATCGTTTACTTAATGGTTATAGTTGGAACTTATACCTAACTATTTGATTTAATCAATAAGTGCACCTGCTAATTGGATACGTTACCTTATAATTTCCTGCTGAGTTTTTAAAGCGCTCCGAGTGACTCTCGTATCCATAATGACGAATACGTCATGAGACGTTTCACAAATAGGTTCTGTAAAGATACCATACATTTTTATTACTTTTAAAAATCTTTAGACAATAAGTTTCATAAAATATTATACCGATATATAAATATATATATTTGAAGCTTTAAATTCTATGTCGGTGAAAAATAACCCATGAGAAGATTACACTGAATATATGGAGAGTAATAATAGGAATGTTTTTAGGGCTGCTGAACTTGGATTTTGACCGCATGCAAAAAGTCCTACAGGTGAAAAACTACTTAACTACGATAAATCCCACAACACAAAATAGTATTGGTAAATAATAAGATCCAGCTTAGTTTAGGATTGGTAGAAAACTATAAAATCAGTAAGAAGATCTTTGATTTCTTAAAACAAATGACATTTTGACAATTATCATACTTCAGCGTTAGGCTTACTGCAGTTTAACTCTCACATCGTTATTGTTTTCTTTAATATACAAGCAGTTAGGTTAATTGTTAACTGAATGTTACGGTGACGTTAGGGGCAACAATTTCTTGCTTTTCAGTTCCTTGACACTAGACCCCCGTCATGACCTTTATGTATATTTATTTTCGTTTTAGAGAAGCTGAACGTACTTACCCTGCATAGTTCCTGGATACCTACATTCCTTATCTGAAAGATACAAATAAATATAACTTATAATTAATAAAAGGAAAATGCAATAGTTATTTTAGAACATTCTTGATTTTTATATTTTATTTTAAATAAAAACATTTCTCTCTCGTAAATATAAATTCACGTATAATATATTCTCTGTTGTTGTTGGCTGACCTTTAACTTTAAATTTAAACGTAAATTAAACATTTTTATTGCTCGATAAATGAAGATTTAATTTTAATGTGACGTAATAATCATGTGACATCTCACATTTTCTCGAGAGTTGGGGAGATTTTTCAGTAATATAAAAAAGACAGTTAGGGTAAAGTACTGATTGGATGGTTGATTGAAAAGTAAGTTACTGATTGATTATTGAGCCTGTGCTTGTTAGATCAGTGCCTTAAGTTTTGTATTTCCAACAAAGTACTGATACGCAAGTAATTGACTTTGTTAATTGTAAAATGTACGTTGTAAATGAAATAATGAAGGACTTTCTTTAAGTAGAATGGCTTTTGCCTTATTTTTATAGAAGAATTAAAAAGATCCCGTCCAATGATAGAATCAGTTACAAACATAAATAATTAGTAAGCTGGGGAGCTCAAAATGATTTAGATTTTGGTTGTTGGTCATTTTTCTTTCTGTTTTGACAATACATGTATAATAATTGTAAATTTTACATTCGAAATTTTGGATAAGTCCTTTTTATTCGGAATACATATTAAAAAACGAACAAAAAAAAAGATAAATTCGTTCAAAAATGATATTATTTTATCTCTGTGTGTTTCTAAAGTTCACTACTACAAAAAATGTATAAAACTTTACAGAGTACGATTGTAAGTTATGTTTTTTTTCATAAAATACTGAATCATGTAGATCGTTAATAAAAATGTTTTTTTCTTTTCTCCGTGGTAAGTATGAAAAACTTACAACGCTAAAAACCAGGTTTCGATACCCGTGGTGAGCACAGCACATATAGCCCATTGGGTAGCTTTATGTTTAACAACAAACAGAAACAACAGAACTTATAAATTTGTTTCCAATTGGCTGAGAGTTATTAGCCTGTAATAGCCTGAAGAAATAAGTGTAAACTCAGGTAGTATTCCCAATATTAGATCCAATAAACCTAATATATTGTATAGGTTTTCCAAAACTACAATAACGGACAATTTCTATTTATAATGCATGTTTATCAATTATATTTAAACTTTTTCAAAGAATTTTTGGATGGACAAATTTTTCTTTTCATATACGCTTACATTCCCAAGATTTCATTCAATATACCCTTTAATTTGTATATCTTTCCAGAGAATCACTACTACAGATTTTTTTATTTATTATACACATTTATATTCTTAAGACTACATCCAATAAAATCATTATTTTGTCCAGATTTTCTCTATTACAGACATTTATGTTTTCAAAATGATATCCAATAAACCACTAAATATAATATCATGCTAATATTCGGGGTTCGATCTTTGCGATGGGTACTCCACAGATAATCCATTATGCAGCTTTGTGCTTAACAACAACAACAACAACAACAAACAAACAGGCTTTCCGAGAAAGATAAACGAAAGAAATTAGAATCTATCAGAAATTTACAGGCTCTTAAACTGTAATAACTCAAGTTCTGTAATTCAGAATATCAACACAATAAGTTAAGTTTAATTTCTTCTAAATATTCTTAAAAGATATAATTTGCTATGCAACTTAAAATTTAATCGATTTTGTAGAAGTTATACATTTTTATGTTAAGCCTAAACATCTGGACCTAAACCAATTCCTTCATTTGCTAACTAAGAGTTGATATAAGGCTAATATAGGGTGTACTATGTAACAAACACACTGAAATATCTTGCATACATGCATTCAAGTAGTCTTTGAATGTGGCAAGGGGTACCACCATAGAACTTGTTCATCATTGTTACCATTAGTTTTGGTTTATGCGTTATCCTGACAATAATTTTAGAGATTGAACAAATCTCCCCCACAATTGTCCGAATTTCTGTCGCAAAGGCATCCCTTTGTTGAAGAATGGCTGTTGGGTTATGGCGATAGAAACACATCTTTAGAAAGCCCCATAAATAGCTCCCAGGAAAAGTGATGTCAGGGGAATGTGGTGGTAAGACATCATGGAAGTGGCAGTTGAGGATCAGTCCTCATTAAAGTAATGAGCGTTAGTAATGGTCTACAAATTGTCTGGTATTCTACGGCGGTATTCCCGAATCACTCTTGAGTACTATAATTACTTTGATAGTACAGCTTTCCGGAATGATCCATTGTTACAAAATTAATATCGTGTAGTGTCTTCTATTGCTAGCGAAAGTAAACCAGTTGTCCTTTCCACCCCGTGCTTATATACCACCCAAATTTACGTGTAAACATATGCAGTCCCCCCTTGTTTATTGTATGTACTCACCATATTTTCCCTATGTTTTACACGGTTTGCCTTATAGAGTATTTTCAAATACCTATACTGATTTTATAATAACCCTGATATTGTGAAACCGACAATCTCTCACGAATTCTGATTCATTAATACCTTCCTGATTCAATAAATCCTGATTTGTTTTTGGTTCTGTGTTTTGATTTTGAAAAATCAACCACTAAACAAGTAAACTAAGCAGAAACAAAATAGTAGACTTATTTAGATTTAGTTTTCTATGATACACCGATATAGTTATTAAACCTTTATGAGAATTAAACATATTCTTATTGCTGCTTTATTCTATGCGTAGAAAGGGGAAAAAAAATGTAATATTTTTTATATCACGTAATATATTAAGATTAATTTTATTACTGGGTATAATACATTTATAATATTTTATTTCATAATTTTCTAAATTGTATTTATAAGAAATAAGAGTTTGGAGACTTACAGTAATTATTTTCAGCTACTTTCAGTTTTGTATTTTCAAACAAATCCTTCGTATTTTTTACTACCGTGTCTAAATCATTTAAAGCAAGGCTTTTCAAGTCACTAAGCACTTTTGCATAGTTCGTAACTTGCGCGTCGAGGTTTTCGATAAGCGGTTCCAACTGTTCTTCTCTGTTGCAGTAGCTATGTTTACTGGTACTAGGTAAACCAGAATAGCTATAGTAAGCTCTGAGTAACTGACTCAACTTCAGGTTGTTTCTGAGCTCGGCATTGTCAGTTAGCACCGAACCGATGATCAGTCCTATTAATAGAAAGTAAGAAAGAAACGAAAATGAACATAAATTAGATAAATGAAAGAGTTTGAAGAGATGCTTCGATAAAACATTAGTCATCTGAATCAAACGTTTATTCTCTCGACCTTAACTTTTGACTTTGCAATCTAATAAAAGTAACAAGGTAATGGTGGCATTCGTATCAACCGCGATATAATACTATGTTTATTATCATAAAGGGCATTTCTATTTAAAATGTTGCAACTTACCAGAAATTTTTATCATACTTATTTTACCACGCGGAAAAATCTGTATATTGTTTTCTATACAAATATAAACTAAGCAGGTAATTGTTATCTTGTGGGTTAAATACCAATGCTTTTTTTTTTCTGATGTTTTTCAGTATATCAAGAAATAGGTTTTCACTATAGGTAATAAGACTGACAGAACGACTACATACCAACTGAAGTAAATATAACAATAACGTTTACAACAGAATATATTATATTATCAGGACTTCATTTATAGAAAATATACATTATAATATCTTAATTCAGCAAAATAAACGAAACCGTGATTATCACCAACTGATGAATACCTAATACCAACCATTTGAACAAAATAAATATCATTGACATGCTTTGAAGTAAAACTAACGATAAAAGTTCGCAAAAAAAGTTGTTATAATTGTCATATATAAAGAATAAAAAAAGTTGTTCATATAATAAATACCATTTTCGTAAACATATAATGAAATTAATTCAACAAGAATCTAAATAAGGAATTTAACGTTGCCATTAAAAACCACTGAACTAATTTTTCCAAAACAGATCTCACAATGCAATTAGCATCAATCAGAAGAGAAAATAACATTATCAAAGGATAACAGAAGATAAAAGTAGAAATAAAGACTGGTTCTGCTTTATTATAAAAGTACATTTTTCTTTGATACTGCCGATGATTTTAAAGTAGAATTGTTAAATTGGAGTGACGCAGTTGATGATAAAATAAAGAAACAGGATCTAACATCTATTGTAACTTTACTGTGTTCCTTGATTAAGCAATTGGCTTTAAATTCTTAATCCATTCTATAAAATTCAATTTTCGCTTTTCAATTTTTTAACCGATAGCCGTAAAACAGGAGAACGATCACGAGGGAAATATTGCAGTAGACTGTTTGAAGATAAAATGTTAAATTCTTTGGGTTGCTGATTAATTACATTGAAGACTTAAATGTTGGAATTGTTTTAAAGATAATGTTTTATTGGGCAAATATTGGTTGTTTAACAGAATGAAAATAATTGAATAAACTGAAAACTTAGAAAGTATAATGAACTCAAATACAAACTAAAGAATTGTTAGGTATTACATTTCTAGTAGCCTAAAATTGAGTTAAACTGTAATTTAGATTTAGTAGTTAAATAAATGCTGATATCATGTATCCAATTTATGATATTTGCCAACAAGATTGATAAACACACTCTTCTTTGTTTTATACAAATATGTTTTAATATACAAAGAATAATACAATTCACAATAACAGTTATTACAAACAGGTACTACAAACAATTATTTATATACAAAAGTTCCACAAACTTACAAACAATACAAAGTTTTCTTTCTAGTCCGGAACATCCTTGATGTCTTATCGAGGGTTCACGATGAGCGAGTTAATTTCGAGTTGACATAGGTACAATTCACTTAACAGAGAGCTAGATAACTCTGTATTATTCGCCGATTTTTTCCACCGATGACGTTAGGTAATGTTTTCGTAAAAGTACTAATGTCGAATGTGAATCCACTGAAGTTAAAGTGTTTGCAATGTTCGAAATTTATA